ATTTTCTGGGGGGGGGGGGGGGAAGAACTGGTACTTTTGACACCCTATTAGAAAGTATTTCACATCCATTAGTACAGACATACCAATATAATATATATTTATGCGCTAACACAGAATAGTCTAAACTGAAACAAATATTCTCTATACCATGCTTTATTCGTTTATTTAGCAAATGAAAAATGAGTTCAAAGTTATGGAAAATAAAGTGATATTAATTTGCACAGGACGAGCAGATACGAAACGTGTAGGGCGAGGGGAGATTTTCCACTAGTTAATCGATCACGGATGGTTTCATTATTTCAGGTGGATAAAAAAAAATATATATAAGAGGATAAAAATAATAAAAGCAAAAATGTTTCTCTAAATATACTTGGGCGGCCCGTCCAAGTAAAGTCTATGTGTGGGAAACACTATAGTTTGATGCACAACCCCTGGTTATCAGTCTTTATTTATTTATTATTATTTCAAATAAAAGGATAATATTTCACATTAATGGGGCTATAATTCTGGGTGTACCTTTTTATCAGGTCGCGGTGCATTCTGGATAGAGCCCAAGGCTTGGCGTTTGTACTCCAGTCTCTCATACAGCTGTTGTAGTTTGGTGGCGGCGTAACTGGCCTGTTCGTTGATGCCTTTGCTGCCCTCATCCAGGGCCACATCCCCTCCTTCCATCACCTGACCCTAAACGCACAGAAATACAAGAGGAAAGTCACAGAAAATGGCAACGGAGTGATTGGATGTAGAAGCCAGGCTCATGTCGTGTAAAACTCACGGCGTCGTCTTTCTCCTCGCTGCTGGACTGTGAGCTGCTCCTTTGCTCCTCTCGTTTAATGAGCCGCTCGTACAGGTCGCTCACCAGGAAAGATGGGTAATAGCGCTCCTTCATGGTCTCGTACACGTCTCCCTGGATCCTGTGAAACACGTCTGTGCCCTTGTTCCCCACCAACGTCTGCTGGATCTCTTTATAAAGAGGCTTCTCCACCGGGATCTCCCTGCTCTCCACAAAGAAGTTCTGGTAGATCTCTCCCACCAGCTGCGGCACTTCATTCTGCACAGAGGAAGAGCAATCCTGACACAATCTTGTCTTGCTCATTAAGGGCATTCCTTTAAAATTCAATCTCACAATTAGGTCATTAATTAATTTAATAAGAGATTAATTAAACAACAAAAAAATAAAACTATACACTTTGCATCGATAGCAAAAAATTGTACATAAAAATACAGTTGTAGGTTTTTTCGTAATTCCTATCAATTTCAATATAATACTTGTTTATATACAGTACTGTGCAAAAGTCTTAGTCCATTAGTAATTTTACCAACAAAAAGTTATTTCTATCTTTTGAAGAAACAGAAAAAACTGAGACAGACTAAATCCAGAAGAACACTGGCAATGTATCCAACAAGCTTGAAGAAACCTACCTGCAAAGCTACAGTACTGTGAAAAGTTTTAGGCACTTTTGTAAAAATGCTGTAAAGTGAGGATGTTTTCAAAAATAAGGAATGTTTGGAAATGTAAACTGATAATTCCTACTGACACATATATATAAAATCCCCCCTCCCAAAGATAAATATATCATTTCGCATTAGAAAATACTGTAAATTAAAGAAATAAATTCAATAAAAAAAACAGGCTTTGTTGGTTTCATCCTTGAAGGTTTGAAGATCTGCACAGCTCTATTGGTCTTTCAGGATTGTGCTTTTAATGGTTTTGGTCTTCAGCATTCTGCATTTCAATGACATATTCATATTCAGAGCCGACAAGCAATAAAACATATGGCTAATCTTAATCGTTTGGTTTGGTTTCATGATGAACAGATGCTAACTGTTAATACGATATGACAACAACATTAAACAGATTATTGCAAATCTGCTGTTGCATAGAAATGAACCAAATGTACCTCCTCAAACATTTATCAGCTGACAGCTTCATATCTTCATAAATAGCCTTGTTTTTATTCAATATACAACATACCAGGGTTTTTTAACCTTTTAGGACATGTGCCCCCTCAAATTTGTCTAATTTTTCTCGATATGATTACAGCTCTATTCAGATGGCAATTCTTTCTCATGGGGATGTAAGGTAATGTTAACAGTCACGGGCTTGTCAGTAATTCTATTGCAGTCTGAAATCAGAAATATTTGTTTTTTGACAAACACCGAGATTGTGTGGTCATTTATAGCCGGCCGAATCCACATCTCTGAGTTATTTTACCTGTCAGACAAGTAGCTGAGTGAAATGTTTACCTTATGTAAATATAAATAAGTTTGTCTCTGTATATTTCTCCTAATCTCCACATTTTTAAATTGACATCTATCATTTTGAGAAATAAAAAAGCAAGACAGAAAACTATAGCATGTCAATTTTCTATTTTTAATGGGATATTTAAATAACCAAGCAAATAAATAAACAAATAAATACATTCCCTATCATTGATTTAAATATGAATTCCTTAATTGTTCAAGCCATAATAAATATTTTGTATACATCTGAGCTATGGCTGGGCATTGAGACAAATTTCACGATTCGATTCGATTTGATTTTGATTTCCATTCACAAGCTTGCAGTTTGATTCAATTTCAAACTCGATTCAATTCCATTTATTTGGACATATAGGCAAGTACAGTACATACCAATGTATTTCAAGAAAAAAAAAACGCAACTAATGCTGTAAACTACACAACTATACAATAAACCCTGTTGGTTGGTACATTACTAAATTAAGTGATTTGTAAACAAACATATAAGTTGCACATAAGGCCGTTTTTATAATAAAAATGTAAATTGTAATAAAGAGCGCTAAAATTGTATTTAATGTTTGAATTTCATAAACAATGTACAGAATTTGAGCGCTGAGACTTTTTTTCATATGAAAAGTAACGAAGCACAAATGCTTAACGTGATTTACTGGATGGGAGGAGAGCTACAAATAATGTTTTGTTCACGCATCAACTGAAAACCACATATTGTAGATCAATTCTTGGGATTTAACAATCGATATCGGTACATCCAAATGAAAATAGATTAAAATCGAGAAATCTGTATTTTACGATATTGACGATCATGTGCCTGACCACTTGAGCAGTGTGTTTCCAGGTTTGTACTGTAGTATCACAGAACTCACTCCTCCACCATGCAAATGTATTTTTACAGACGTCCCCATGAGAAAGAATTATTGACTGAATCGGACTAATGACAGTGGCTCTTTCACTCGTCTGCTGACAGAGCTTCAGCTCAAGGTCTTGATGTTCTGCTGACCTTGTTGGCGCTCTTGAGCATCTCCACCAGCTCCCAAAAGCTAATCAGAGCCCTCTTATCCACGCGCTCCATGTAGACACGGAAATGCCCGCGGTACACTGCATTTGACATGATCTCCTCAAACTGAAGTATCTGTGAGAGGACAAGAAACAAATTAAGCAGACGGTGTTATTATTAAAAACACTTGAAAACATGACACTGTAGAGGAAGTGGAGTTTCATCTCAAGAAGGCTGGGTAATTTATCAGTATCACTGATGCCAGCTGACGAGGATGTTTCTTCTCATCTTTTAAAGGGTTTCTACACTCCTGGAGTATCTTATATTTTTTCCTTGATAGTCAAGGTTTCTCTCTGACCCTAAGAATTAAGGACATTTTTGCTATTGTACCATTAAGTAAATATATAGTAAATGTTGGCTAACCTCCACGTACTGGCAAGATTCACACCAAAGTAGCTGAAATCATTCTAATATGCTGATTTGCTGCTCAACAAACATTTCTTATTATTATCAATGCTGAAAACAGTTGTGCTGCTTCATATTTTGGTGTTTTTTCAGGATACTTTGATGAATAGAAAGCTCAAAAGAATAACATTTATTAGCAATTAATAAATGTCTTTACTGACTCACTTTTGATCAATTTATTACATCTTTGTTCAATGAAAATATTAATTTCTTTTAAAAAACAAACAAACAAAAACATTAATAATAATAGCTTACTGATCAAACTTTTTAATTGGTAGTGTAGGTCAGTGTTATTTTTATTTACTCAATATTTCATTTATTTATTTAGTTAGTTAAATTGTTTTAGTTAAAGTTGTAGTATTTTTTTTGTCATTTGTAAACGTTAAATATATGTCTATATAGTTTTATTCATTTGAGTTTTTAGTTTATTTTAGTACATAAAATACTATGTACTAAGTACATAGTACTTTAGTACATGAAAAATAGATTTTTTTTTATGGTTTTAATTTTAGTTTTAGTTTCAGTTAACTATAACAACCCTGGTGTAAGTCTGAATAAAAACCGGTTCTCTATTACACTAGTAAATGTGGTTGAACTATAACCATGACAATTTCTAAATGACCCATTTTTGCAGTTAATAGTCTGGGGAAGGAGCTTCGCATCAAAAGAACGCAAAGAAAATCGTTTCTTTCCAGGAAGCATCATGCAGTAATGTTTTAAGCT